ACAGCAGAGAGCTGAGGATGAGGCTTCAGCCACTAAGCTGAAGATGCAGCAGATGGATGAGAACTTCCAGCTCTTCTGCTGGGGCCTGGAGCAGACCGTCTTCCCTTGGATCGAAGAGGGCCATTCTCTGCTGAAAGAATATGGAGCTGACACCCTTGCTGAATTCAAAGCCTATATCGAGAGCAGAGACAAGGAAGAAGCTAAGAAGCGGGATAAGCTGATCGCAGACCATGCTAGCCAAATGGATCTTCTCCGCACTCAGGCCAAAGACAAGCAAACTGAGCTCGAGGCCCAGGTTCAGCGACTGCAAAATGCGCTGAAGGCTGAGAAGAATGTGTCCTCCAAGGCCTCGGCTGACCTCGCTGCTGCTAATGAGCTTCTGAAGACCAGGATATATACCGAGGCCGAGTATGAGGAGGGATACGAGAATGGCTGGAAGGTAGCTAGGCGGTTGGCCCTCCACATTGAGCCTAACATCAATTGGGATCAGGTTGAAGCCTGGTCCATGGATCCAGCAGACGCTCATGTGCATGAGGCCAGCCCAGCTGAGGTGGCGTCAAACTGAGCGTGAGGAAAGGGAGAGAGAAGTTGAGAGAGAACTGAATGCTGCCCATTCTGCTTCCTCTTCAGCCGATGCTGAGGCTCTGGCTGCTCCGAATGATGTTCCTAAAAATGCTGAAGCATAGGAAATCGGGCAGTCGTCTACTGAGTCCTGCGGATCAACGTGCAATTAATTTGAAGACGCCGCATCAACTTTTGCCAGTTCTCTTTTGTTTCAGCTCACCTTGTACAAACTTCTAATTTGTTTTTGTGTACTTTCGGCAGCTGTGTTTTCCGCTATGTGGGCGGCTGCCAAATTTGAATTTCTATAGTTTAAACATTCTGGATTTGGTTTCTATAACTCATACTCACTGTTTGTGATTTTCCAATCTTTATGAGTAGATGAAATAGAATTTCAGTTGTTTCTTCTTCTTTTTCCTGTTTTTCTAGCTTTGAACTTGATTGCTTTTCTCTGAAATTTTTTTTTTCAAAATTTTAGCTAAGTACAGAGCTTCGGCGTAGAAGTCTTCAGCTGATAATGCCTTTATCTATTTTACTTGGCTTTTCATGAAATTTTTCCATGAGAGCTTCAGATAGGAGCTCAGTATGTGAGTGTCTTCTGCTCCCCCCAGAACTTTGAATATGAAGTCTTCTGAGTTCTGAGTGCTATTGCCCTTGATCATTCTGATGTGGTCGAAGCTTTGTTGTAGCTTACGCACTTATGCTTATTCCTTATATATTTTTCCTGATTTTATTTCACCCGAGGGAACGACTACCTTAGACACAATGCCAGGGCAGCGATCATCTGAAGTATAAGGCATCATTATGCAATACTTCAGAGGTGCAATTGCCACCCGAAATTGACTCGCCGAAGCACAACGCATCATTATGCAATGCTTCGGGCATTTTATCAATTCCTATTTTCGGCTATGTCCTAGATGAGCCTGTGACCCCTTCGCCGAGAGCAGCAAATCTGTCCGAGGTACAGTGCATCATTATGCAATACCTCGAGGTTCTATCTGCCACTCTCATATCGGCAGGTTCTCCGGCTTGCCGAAGTACAGTGCATCACAATGCAATACTTCGGACAGCACCGGGTGTAAACCTTGAATTTTTCAAAAATCGGCAAAAACAGAAATAATGAAAGTAGAATAAAATTATGAATAGTTGTGGCTCAAAGGCCTTTCATTAATCTAAAGAGAATGTACTTACACAGATTTTTAAACATGAAATTTTCTAAGTACGTCTGCATTCCAGTGGTTTTTCAACTCAGTTCCATCTAACTGCCGAAGACGATAAGTTCCTGGTTGGAGCTCATCATATATTTCATAAGGCCCTTCCCAGTTAGCTGAGAGTTTTCCATGGATGCGGCTATTCTGAACAGTGGCGGCATTCCGAAGAACTAAGTCCCCAACTTTAAGGAGTCTTGACTGGACTCTTCGGTTGTAGAACTTGATAATTCTCTGTTTGTATGCTGCCATTCTGTCCCTTGCCGAATCTCGGATCTCATCTAGGAAATCGAGGGACTCTTTCATGAGATGCTCGTTTTCTTCGGCTGAGAACTGGTTGACTCGGAGACTTTCTGAGCCAATTTCCACCGGCAAGACGGCTTCGGATCCATACACCAATTCAAAAGGTGAATGCCCCGTCGCCTCTTTTTCGGTTGTCCGAAGCGACCATAGAGTTCCAGGAAGCTCTTCTATCCACTTGGACTTTTGATCTTCAGCTCTCTTTTTGAGAGCGTTGAGTATCTGTTTATTTGCAGCTTCGGCTTGGCCATTACTTTGAGGATGTCAGACTGCCGAGTATGCCAGCTTTATGCCGAACTGATCTGTGTACCGCCTCAACGACAAATTGTCAAATTGTCTTCCATGATCGAAGACAAACACCTTTGGAATGCCGAAGCGCGTGATGATATTCTGCTAGATAAATTTTCTGACAGTTTGCTCAGTTATGTTTGAAGCTGCTTCGGCTTCTATCCATTTGCTGAAGTAGTCAATTCCGACTATCAACCATTTTTTCTGGTAGGGAGCCTCGGGAAATGATTCTAAAATATCCAACCCCCATTGAGCAAAAGGGAGTGGATTCAAGATCGGCTGAAGGTCCCTTGAAGGCCTATGAATGACAGGTGCGAATTTTTTGGCATTTTTCGCATTTCCGCACTTAGTCTTTGGCATCTTGGATCATGGTTGGCCAATAATATCCTGCCCGTAATGCTTTATGGGCTAGGGTCCTTCCCCCAATGTGGTTTCCACATATGCCGAAGTGGATCTCCCGAAGTATGTAGTCTGCATCTGTTGGACCCACACATTTCAGCAGTGGGGCTGAGAAGGATTTTTTCAGCAGCTCCCCCTTATAGACAATGAACCTTGAGGCTACCCTTTTCATTTTCGCTGCTAAGTTCTTGTCCTCGGGTAGCGCTCCTTGTAGCTTGTAAGCCAAGATGGGGTCCATCCAGCTAGGCTCAGCTTCAGCGCATTGGACCTCAATTTCTGGGTCAATGCTTCTGTTTCGGCGCACCTCCACATAAATAGATCGGTTCAGCTCCGTAAGAGTTGAACTTGCAAGTTTGGAGAGTGCATCGGCTTGAGCATTCTGACCCCTTGGGATCAGCTCAATTTCAAAAGTTCTCAGCTTCGATATAACCGACTTGATCTTGGCAAGATAGGAGATCATAGAGGGCTCCTTGGCCTCGTACTCGCCCCAAACCTGATTAGCGACTAGTTGAGAGTCTGTCTTTAAACAGATATGTTCGGCTTCGAGAGCTATGCACAGTTCCAAGCCAGCAACTGCTGCTTCGTATTCTGCTTCGTTGTTAGAAGCCTTAAATGAGAATTTGAGTGCATACTCGAAGTTTCTGCCTTCGGGAGAAGTGATCACCACCCCAGCCCCCGAACCATTTAAGGTGGCTGAGCCATCCGTGAACACAGTCCAAGTCCCCTTCCCTTCATCGAGTGTTTCCTGGTAGGAACATTCGGCTAGGAAGTCTGCTAGGGCTTGGGCCTTGATTGCTGCCCTCGGCTGGTAGCTTATGCTGAACTCAGTGAGCTCGAAGGCCCACTTTGCGAGTCTTCCCGATTTTTCCACCTTACCGAGGACTTTTTCCAGCGGTTGATCTGTTAAGACCACTATTTGATGCGAGTCAAAGTAAGGCCTTAACTTCCGAGCTGCCACTACCACCGCATATGCAACTTTTTCGAGCAGAGGGTAGCGCGTCTCGGCATCAATCAAAGTATGACTGACAAAATAGATCGGTTGCTGAACCTTTTCTTCTTCCTTCAGCAGCACCGCACTCACTGTAGCAGGGCTAACTGCCGCATATAGGTACAAGACTTCTCCTTCAGCTGGTCTTGCCAGCGTCGGAAGGTTTGCCAAGTACTCCCGGAGCTGCTGGAAGGCTACTTTTTGCTCATCTTCCCATGTGAGCTCCTTGATTTCGGAAATTTCAGCGCCTTGAAGAAGGGAAGACCCTTGTCCGAGGCTTTTGAGATGAACATGGATAAAGCAGCCATCCTCCCAGTAAGACGCTGAATGTCCCTCTTTGTTTTCGGCTCGGGAAGATCCAGGGCTGCTTGAACTTTAGCGAGATTGGCATCAATCCCCCTCTTGCTGACCATGAAACCTAGGAATTTCCCAGACCTCACGCCGAAGACACACTTCTTCGGATTCAGCTTCATTGGGTGCTTTCTCATAGTGGCGAACGTTTCAGCTAGGTCCGCAACATGGTCTTTCGCCTCTTTGCTTTTGACGATGGAATCGTCAACATAGACTTCCATGTTGCGGCCTTTTTGCTCGGCAAACACTTGGTCCACCAGCCTCTGATATGTAGCCCCGGCATTCTTCAGGCCGAGGGGCATCATTTTGTAATTATACACCCCGGTGCTTGTAACAAATGCCGTTTTTGCTCTGTCATCGGGGTGCATGAAAATCTGATGGTACCTAGAAAATGTGTTCATGAAGCTGAGCAGAGCATGACCACTTGTCGAGTCAACCAGCTGGTCGATTCTCGGCAAGGGATAGAAGTCCTTCGGGCAGGCCCTATTCAGATCCGTGAAGTCAACTAACATTCTCCAGGTGCCATTAACTTTCTGAACCATTACTACATTCGCCAGCCATTCAGGGTATTGGCAGGGCTCGATGAACCCTGCGTCCAGAAGTTTCTTGACTTTGGCTTTGATTTCATGTTTCTTCTGAGCGGAGTAATTCCGCTTCTTTTGCTTAATTGGCCGACATGTGGGGTCGACATTAAGCTTGTGCGAGATGAGGTTCGGATCGATTCCTGGCATGTCAGATGCTAAGAATGCGAACACATCTTTGTTGTCCCGAAGGAGTTGGATTAATTCAACACGGAGGCTCGGATCGAGACCTTGTCCGATGTTGACACATTTTTCGGTATCCCCCTCGGTCAACTGGATTGACTCGGTTTGCTCATCTGACTCCATTGCCTTAGAGTCAGACTCTTATGGTTCAGGTCTACTGTCAATCTCAGCAGACCTTCCTTTCTTCGGCTGGCTGTCGTCCGAATCTTTCGGTCCGTCCGAAGAGCTTGCCTTTTCGGTCCCCAAAGATGCTTTCTTTTTTGGGGACCCCTGAGCCGAAGCACTTAGGCCCTTCGACCTTTTAGTACCCCGCTCCTTTTCTTTCTCTTTTTCTTCCTCATCATCCTTGTCGCTTCGGCGACTCTTGGATGGCTTGAGGGAATTACATTCTCGGGCCTCCCTTTGCCTGCCCAATATTTTTTCGGAGCGTCCCTCGCTTGAAACATAGATCATTGCTTGATGATATGTCGAGACGACTCCTTGAACATCATGGATGAGGGGTCTCCCCATAATGACGTTATATATTGATGGGGCATCAATGACCAAGAATTTGGCCATGATGCTTCGTCTTGCCCGGTCTTTGCCGAGGCTGACGGGAAGAAGAATCTTCCCATCTGGATATGAAGAAGAGCCGTTGAATCCAGTGACCGGATAAGGGACTGGAGTCAAATGCCTGCTCTCCAACTTCAGCTGGTCGAATGCCTTCCGAAAAAGTATATTCGCCCCGCTGCCACCGTCTACCAGTGTCCGATAGACGTTGTGATTTGCAATGCTTGTCATGATAACCAAAGGGTCATCATGGGGATACACCACCCCCATGCAGTCTTCAGATGTGAACGTTATGTTCGGCACCGGAGACTGCGGTTTCTGGAACTCGGCATGATGAATCTGATGGGTGAGGCCCCTCAGATGGCGCTTAAGTGCGTTCCAAGATATGCCACCGGAAATGGTCAGGATGTCATTGTGCCCTCCTTTGGGAGGTTTGTCCCTTTTCCGGTGATAGTCCAGCTCTTGCCGAGAATCTTTCTCAGCTTTCTTCTTTTCGCGGCGCTCCGCGACATACTTCTTTAAATATCCTTTTTGGACCAGCTCTTCGATTGGGTCTTTCAGCTGGAGGCAGTCCTCGGTGCGATGTCCACGAGATTCATGGAACTCACACCAATGGTCCTTCCCTTTCTTTTGATGCCAGGAAGGAGGTGGCTTCGGCTTTCTGAATCTCCCCTCTTCCCTCGTCGCACTAAAGATCTTAGTACGTGGTAAGGTGAGAGAAGTGTAAGATTCAAATTTCCCTAGGTAGGGAGCCTTATCCTTCTTCGGCTCTGCGGTCAAGGGAGGTTCTGAGGCTTTTGCCTTCCCTTTCCTTGACCCTAGAACTTCGGCCTGCTGTCCTTTTGGTTTCGCAAGCCCGGACTGAGATTGCAGCTTTGCCTTGTTCCATTCCTCGGCTCGGATGAATTTATCCAAGGCGTCGAGGGCTTATTCCAAGGTCTGCGGGTGATGCATGACCATGAAATCCAGAAATTTGCCAGCTTGCAAGCCATTCCGTAGTGCGAATATGGCCAGGCTTTGATCCAGACTTGTGATTCTGGATGACTCGTTGCTGAAGCGAGTCAAATAATCTCGGAGACTTTCGTCCTCCGCTTGCTGCAGGCCATGAGCTCTGCAGTAGTTTTCTCTCGGCGGTTAGCCGTGGAAAACTTACTTCTGAACTTATTGGCCAGGTCGCTCCAGCCCGTTACTGAGCCTTCCTTCAGCCCTTTGGTGATCCATGATTGGGCCACACCTTTAAGGGTTGTTGGGAAGTACTTGCACCAGGTAGCTTCGGACCTGGGGTTAAGGTACATATGCCCCTCGTAGGAGGCTATGTGGTCCTTCGGATCCGAAGTACCATCATATGTAATGTGTGCCGGAATTTTAACCATCGGCACATGTTCCTCCAGTATCCACCTTTAGAATGGGGAACTGGTTGGAACCATTACGGCCTTTCCCTTCTGCCGTGCCGAAGGAACCCTGCTTCTCCCTCTCAGAGAGGTGGATGCAGGGGGTGTCCCCTTGCGTGACATAGAGGGCTGAGACCCTTCTGGGAAGGTGAGGCGACTATGCACCCCTCCTTCTTTGCCTCCCAAGCGCTCATGAACGCTTCGGCGAGAAACATTATGGCTATCATGATGATCCCCGGAGTTACGAGCTTTGGAATTTTTGGAGTGGCCAGAGCCTCTCCTCTGATTCTGCCCGGAATCACCTGGATGCCCAGCCCTTCGGCTACCTTCCCCTTTCAAGGATGGAGCCTGCCTCTCTCCCTCGGTTCCACTTTTCCTCTTTCGATCATGCGATCTAGGAGGGGGAGAGAGTGACTTTTTTGTTGATGGGAAGCGTCCTCCCAGAGCATGCATAAAGTCCATGCACACAGCCATGGCCTTCATGACCTCCTCGGTTGACGGTCCGGTAGGAGGAGTTGAACGCGTGCTAGGTGAAGGATCACGCTTATGAACCTCACTATCCCTCGGCGAATTCCCATTTTGGTAATCCCGTTGGGAAGGAGATCCCTCACGCGTATTTTCTCCCCTCGGGGAGTTGGAAGCAGTCGGTTCGGGCGATGGGGAAGGTGTTCTACCGGCCGTTACCGTTATAAGACCCATCTTCTTAGCTTTTTTAGAGTTCTTTGCACTCTTAGTCATTTTTTGAGTTTGCTAAGATTCGTATGAGATTTTTGGCTGAATTTTTGTAAGTATCCCCACAGACGGCGCCAAAATTGTTTCGGTTAGAAAACAATGGACCTTCAGCAGGCCCTTCGGATGAGTGGAGATGAAGCCCAATTCGAGTGATAACCGAATTGGGGATTTCCTGCACAGCAAGGCAAACGTAAACTGGCCTCGGGGGGTGTACCGAGGAAGGCCCCTCCGATGCCGAAGTCAGTACGGATGCAAGATGATGAGAGAAAAACTATGCAAGAGAGTTTGTTGCTTGAGGCATTTAATGTGAATGAATGTAATTGTATAAAAATGAAAGCTTTTATACCTTGTTCCAATTAGATGAATAGGGCTTGGACAATCAAATGGGCTGCCATTTGATTGGGCCTTGCTATACCTGACTTGGCAAATGTGATTGAGGGTTGAACCTTGCCTTTTGGGCTTTTATTATTTTCATTATGGACTAGGCCCAAGTATAAGTTATTTGGACCCCAAACATAGACTATTGGGAAAATGTTATTATTATGTGAAGTTTTGCTAAACTAATCATAATGTATATGTCCATAATATCAACATTTTATTAATTTTGGTAATAAACAATGAAAGATATTAATGGTCAAAGTTGTGCCTAATACGTGTGCCAATCAAGCGAATGCACTTATTCACATTCATAGGGAGTACTTTATAAGACTAATGAGTTACTCCTCTCATTGTCATATCTCATCACATGATAATGAGTGCGACCCGAACTTGCTCAAGATGGAGATTTATGCGTTGTAGATTATAGGATTGAAGTACTTTTGTCATAACTAGTAAAGAACAACTTTGTAAGATTGAGAGGAGATAAAAACAAGTGCACTTTTAGGGCTTTATTATTATTATTTTTTTAAAAAAAAAAACGAGTACATTCTGGGTTTGTTTAGTTCACCTTATTTTTGCTTATCTTATTTGGTATGATCTGATCTGATTGTCTAATTTGACCAAACTTTGATCTTATGTATACGATAATCTATAAGAAAAAGTATTTCAAGTAGGGTCTTATTAGATTCGTGATAATGTGTATTTTATTAATATATAATTTTCATAATTTTTTTCATTACAAAATCAAAGATATATAGCAATAAAAGACCTCACATTAAACGATAAATTGTGTTAGAACTTATTTTTTCTGATTTGATCTGAACTGAACTTATTTTTTTCTGAAATAAGTAAAAATAAGGTGAACTGCTTGTAGGTATCTGTAAAAATAAGTAAACATGGCCTTAGTCTCTTACATAGTCTAGTGCTAGGCGCTAGCTAGAACTGCTTGTAGGTATCAGCTCAATAGCTCATCACTTTCTGACTTTAGATAGTACTCCTTATCACTCCAGATTTCTCACCTTCTCCAAATTCAAAGTATTTGTTAGTAACTAAGCATTAACACTGCGGTGCTACCCACAGAGCTCTATCAAAACAGTCTAAAGGATCCTTCCTGTCCTCCTTAACAAAATTTAAAAGGCAATTCGCTGTCCTTAATTAGAATGAATAAATAGACAAAGCAGAAGTCGATAATAAGAGGCAAATTATATATGTGGTATGCATTCTGTAATCTCGATTTGTACAATTCATCTGGATAAATCAGAAATATGGTAGTGTCTTTTAAGCTGCAGTCCTGCAACGTGATGTCGATGGAGATTACAGAGAACTCAACTAAGATATATTACAATATTGCAGAGGCAAAATTTGAGCACAAAGCCCTGTGCCAAAATGCAGGATGATCGCTCCTATCATCTAGAAGAACCAAGACCCATAGTTGCACTCCTTACAGCAACTTTAACTGCAGCTATAGCACCAAGCTGCCTCAATTCTGCGTTCAATGCTTGTCCATCTTGATTTATACAATCTTCCATATGAACCTCGACAAAGTATGCTACCTGCAAACCACAAAGATTGGGACAATGTAAAATTAAGCCTTTGATCCCAACAGAGGAAGATAGAGGATTACAGCAAATTAACAATATGCCACTTCAACTAGCAAACATGGTGTAGTCTAGCAGCACAATGTTGCATACAAGTGAATAAAACACAGAATTTTCATTCCTTCGATGTCATTTAAGCACGATATTGAGATCCCATAACATTTTTTGTTCCCAAGTTCAATTGGATGAGCAAGACTCCAAAAGCAGTCCTTGTACACAACAAGATGGAATAGTTAGGGTGCAATATTTGAACCACGGTAACATAGAGTACTAAACAAACATTAGATAAACAGGTAACAGCCTTTTGCAAAGCACTCGTCCGTAAAACTGAAGGACAAGTCATGTATTATACACCAAGACCCCTTGTCTGTAGGCCAAGGGGTCTTGAAACCAAAGTGGCCTGCATAATTGACCCACAGGTTAAGGGTGAAAATCTGCAAGAGAACACAGTTTAAGCTAGGAGTTCTGCAAGCAATTGAGAAGCTTGAAGGAACTGAAAACTGCTCTCCAAAAGCGGAATTAGCTATTATTTTTTCTTAGAGCTATTTAAAAAATTAAGAAACATTTTAAATTACCTTTCCAGAAGCATTTCGCACAGGTGATAAATGAAGTAGATTCCAGAATGAAGTCATGTCTTTTCTGAAAAGTAAACCAGCCAACAAGATTATCTTACTGTCCCAAATATCTAGAGAAGCTGTTTATCAATAATTTAAACTGCTGTACAATACTAATTAAGGTACTAACCTATAATCTAGGATTCGCGTTGTGCATGGCTTGCTATTCTGAATGCACTCATATATCTGCACAAAAAAATGGTACCAGTAATTCTTCTCAGTTCCAACTTCGCTGGACAAGCTGAAAGGCGTGATTGAATGATTGATTTGATACACCAATAAACAAAAGGCAACAAACCTAACAATAAAGAAACCTGGTCCTAAGAGGAAATACCTGCAACAAGGTGGATGGATCCGTATCAGAGCCACTTATAAATCTATGCTTGCGGCCCAACACTTCATGTCTATCATAGCCTACACAGGACAACAATCAGATTATTCACATTCCTATTGATCTGACAAAATCTAAGTCATTAATTGCTTAATTAGCAGGTAAGCAAGGTGACTTTTGGGTGGACAGATGATCATATTGGATGAGAATGTTCCTAAAAAAACTACTCCTCCGGCCTGTCCATAATTAATCTTCATGTATTCCTTTTAAGAAATCCACAAAAATCTTCATGTTACTCAAAGTAGAAACCCACTCAACCCATGTGATGTGAAACCCTCCACTAACTCTCTCTCATACTTCCTCCGTTCTTTTTTACTTGGGCTGTTTCATTTATAACGTTTGCCAACATATAACTTTATCCATCAATATCTTTAATTCTCAATAAGACAAAATTATAAAAATTAGATATTGTTGTAGTATTTATTGAGGCGATTCTAACAAGATCCCACATAAGTATAGTTGTTCTTACATATAAATCATAAAAGACGGTCAAAGCTGAGGATCTGAATAGTGCAATAGTCAAACTAGGTCAAATAAAAAAGAACGGAGGAAGTATACTACTACATGTGGGTCCTCTTACCCACTATTATTCTTTTAAGAAATGCTTTGTATATTTATTCTTAATCCCCCACTATCTACCAAAAAAATTACCCCATCCTATTATATTCTCTTCATCATTTTGTAATCCCTGATCTGGTTTGAAATAGATAAACATGAATTTTAGAAGCCTCCTGCTCTTTTTAGCTCAAATCTAGGCTAATGCAGAATTTTCCCAGTTCCCTCTCTTCTCAGTAGTTGATTGTTCAAAGGAAACCATTTGAACACCCAACTAACTCCAGCAAAAGAAGAGCAGAAAGGGCAGATTAACCTAGAGTCACCATATGTGATTCAAATGTGAGTCAGAGCAGGAAGAGACAACTCTACAGATTGTCAATATACACAAACATAGACTAGATATCAAGATATGGACATGATAAAAGAAAATTCCAAAAGATTTAGAAAACTTGAGACTAATAGCCTAATAGTGACCACAACCCACCAGTTAGTTTCAAGAATGCTTCACTTGCATAAATAATGGGCATGCTCGGTAAAAGTGGATCAATTCTGAAAGCCAATGAAAAAGATTAATCAGATATTCAACGCCTATGCAAAAAATTGATTCATAATGAGCAACAACAAATAACAATCTTAACAACTCACAATACAAAGCTTTGTTTGATTCTACCGAGAGATGTTAGTAAGGCAGAATTTGGAATGCTCTGCCCCTCCACACAGCAACTCCTCTCAGAAATGGGTTTGCCCCGTAATGCACTGTACTGAGTTAGCACAGACAAAATATTGCTAATAGACGTAGTAGCTTTTTGCTTATCAAACTCACTTGCTTCACAAAATTCCTCAACCTCTACTCCTGTCAAGCACAATATAACACCTTAGAAGTTAGAAGCCAATCAAGCCATATATGAACCAAATTTTATACTGCACAACGAATGTTTGATGCAGACAGAATTTAAATCAAGGTTGTTTCAGATGAAATGAAAATGAACATCAAAAAGAAAATAACAATGCTCAGCTCGCTAGCTCATAAGCTTAGGGACTACTCCGTAGGTTTTAAGGTTAAACGGTGGAACAAACATTGTTCAAGTTACCCACAACATCATGACTATCAAAGAGAAGCTTCCAAGAATGCAAAATTGAGATAAAGATAAGTAGACAACAGTAGTACTGCAAAGCAACTCAAAAAAGCTATAATAATTTCCACGTCCCAGTCCAAATCAGAATATTGTAATGCTTCAAAATACTGAGATATATTGATATGCATTTAGTTAGCACATTGCAAAAAGCTATACGAGCTGCTAAAACATCATAGAGACATACACATTCTAATGTCATATGCACACATTAAGAACTGACCAAACAAGCACAAACTTTAAGCATGCCACAGTTGTAACCATTAAATGTGGTTAAGGTCTTAAGGATCTTACTGATGAATAAGCTCCTAATACAAGCAGACTTGAGCTGAATTAAATGATGCAATCAAACAAGCAACAACAATAAGCAAATATTTGGTGGCAATGTCTTACCTATATCCGAGTCAAAAAATGAATCAAATGCTGTGCTATGACTCAATTCAGACACAGAATCCGAGCACACCTCTCTCCTACAAGACCCAAGCAAAAATTCACGCGACTTAACCCCATCTTCACATAAGCAAAAATCACTCTTACCATGTCTACTAGAACGCAATGGCTTCCTTGAAATTGGGAGTTGAACAGCAACAAAATGGATTACCCTTCCATCCTCCCCACTAATAACCGGACTCATACAAAACAAAATCCAAAAGGGTGTCCCATTTTTATGATAATTCAACAAACTAACTTGAATTGCTCGTTCTTCACGAATCGCCTCTCGAATTTCCATCACTGTCATCCTACTAGTCCCTTCCCCCTGAAACATCCTCCCATTTCTCCCAACCACCTCATCTCTAGAATATCCAAACATCTCTAAAAAACCCCGGCTTGCAAACACAATAGGGTTACCAGATATACAAGGATCAGTTATAGTAAAATTACAGGGCAATTCATCTAAAGCTTCATAAACCCAATTTGAGTAATGGGCATCAACAGATTGATTAATTGCTAGTTCCAATTGTGATTCCATAATCCTATCCCTTCTTTTCTTACAATGAAGCAACAATCCAATCCCATCAGGCAACTTAACCAAGCAATATCTTACCACCTAATTCTGTTACATAGTACAACAACAGCAATATCAATGCATTAATACCAATAAATTCAATGGGATCCGCTACATAAACCAACGATATAATCTCTAGCGGTTGTTTACCCAAAAAAAAAAAAAAAATACTGTTAAATAGTTGTTCAATCAACAAAAAAAATAACTACTCCTTACATAACAGATACAAGTATATATTTAATCAACTGAAAAATTAAGAAGATTAATACAATAATAATATTTTTAATTTATTTTTATAAAGATTGAAAGGGTTTACCTTTTTTTATTAAACTCCCTATGCAAGGATTATGTTTGTTTATGGTGTGAAGTTTAAAGTGAAAAATATGGACCCATGATTAGTGGAAATGAAAATATCTGATTAAATATGTGGATTTCAACAAGTAATACAAGTATTAGATACCCATAAAACAAACAATTGCTTCTGGTTCATCAATATGAAACGGAAAAATCAAAACTTTTTGTAATGACTGAGAGAGAGAAAAAGAGAGGAAGACTTTGGTTTTCTTATAAAATTGAAGTAGAAATTATATCACATGTAAAAAAAGAAAAAAAAAAAAAAAAAAAAAAAAAAAAGAAATATATGGTGCAATGTTATTCAAAATCATATACGAAATATAAAGTTTTTATGTGATTCACCTGGAGGGGGAGAATTGTGGACCAAAGTTGAAGTTGGTGATGATTGAATGTGGAAGTGTTGCTGGGACTCATATAGTGTTATGTTTATTTTGGTAACATTAATGGCATTTGGATTAGGCTGATGCAGATCTGAGTAAGCTATTTTCGATTATGTAACGATATTAATACTGGGGGAGTGGGGGTGTTGCCGTCCGGCCCGAATTAATACTGTATCAATTATGAGCCAGCTAAGGATAAAGTAGAGAGAGAAATGTTAGTGATTTAAACCTTAATTAACCTTAAAATATAACCTTAAATAATATTGATTGTTCTCTTCAGTAATATTTAGGTTCTGTTCATTATCACTATCAATTTATTACTCCATCCGTTCTTGAATAATTAATACACTCAAATATGACACTTGCATTAGTTTTACCTTAAATATATATGATTAAACATTAGTAAAAATTACTACTTGTTTTAAAAAATTGATATTATAAATCTTTATATTAGTAACTATTTAACAATATACAGGATTTTATGCTAAAATTTGTGTTAGTAAACAAACGACAGTTAAAGTTAGTACTCCCTCCATCTCATAATACAATGCCTCTTTTCCTTTTTGTGTAAACCAAAATACATTGCCTCTTTCTATTTAAAAGTTGTACTTATTGACATTATTATCCTCTATTTGATGAGTTGTCATTTTTTTCCTTTTTTTTGTACTTATAACATCAATTTCCAGCACTTTCTCTCTCTATCTCTTCAATTATTCCAATCACTTTTTCTTTCTCTCTATCTCTTTCTAACCCCACATGTACATATTTACTTCTATTAATTAGTTAACTTTCTTAATTCCCGCATAAAAATTCAAAGGTATATTGTATTATGAGACGGAGGGAGTACATAGATAGTGAAAAAAAAAGTCAAACGTGTCAATTATTTAGGACTGGAAGGGTAATCTTTTTTTTTGTTCTTGACTATTTATTAGCATTCAGGTCCCATTCGTTATCACAAACTGTTTTAAACTAGATTAGTCTCGTGCAATGCATGATTTAAACAAATAAAATATTCTAAATTTGTTTATTTTTTTCATACCAAAATTAAAAACAAAAAAATTTCCAAAACAAATAATACATCAAATATTAAAAAAATAAAATTAGAGCTCATAGAAATATTGAATGATGAAAGGGCTAGGGTACTTGAGGAAGAAAAATTAAATTATTATTGTTAGAAAGAATAGATTATTTTTCGGAAATTGCTACTATAATAATATTGTTGACCAAAATTTTAATAATAAAAAAAAATCATAAAATGATAACATCATTTATAGTTTTGGAGGGAAATTTTTTTAATAACAACATGACATGTGTCTAATTTAAAGATAGAATGATGTCAGCGGTTGCTATTTTAGTATTAGTTATAGATTTTTGGTGACATGGCTTAAGCTGTATAGTAATCTTAAAATTAGTCTTAATTGTATTAATCATATGTAAATTTTGCAAACTAACAATAAAATTGTTATTAAGGTTTTTGATCGAGGACCATTTCCAGTAAATTTTTGTCAACTTTGACTTCAAATCGGACCCTTAAGAACTAAATAACGTTCTATACCATGATCTGGGAACCATGAAGATAGCCCGCCACTAGAACTTGCTCTCGCTCCGCTCGTTCCCACCTGCCCTTATCCCTTCTTGTAGCCAATCATAATGAAAGCAGAGCTTTCGATGACACCAGTCTTGGAAACTGGCAACGATGAAGGAGAGGCTAGCTAGAATCGCTTGCGTAAAAGGGGTTCAAGAATCAATTTTCTCATGTAAAACGAGGTGTTTCTTAGCATGTTAAACAAAGCATTTTCGATATATTTTTTATCATTTGACATCAAATCAGACCCTTAAAAACCAAAATAACCCCCCCCCCCAACAATTAGTAGTTTGACATCAAATCAGAACCTTAGATTTTGCAAACTAACAATAAAATTGCTCTATGAAGGTTTTTGAGGATCATTTTCAATAATTTTTTTGTCAATTTTGACTTCGAATTAGACCCTAATTAAGTAGTTTGATCAAATTTATTTCAAAAATTTAGTTGAAATATAGAGGTATTTATAAAAATATCAAGGGTTTATATGGAGATAATAAATTAAAATTTTCACATAAGTTGCACACTTAAGAGTTACAAAGCACAACGTAAGAAGTACATAATGAAGTTGATATGTACTCCCTTGTTTTGGACTGAGAACGTATATCAATATTAAACTTTGAACAATAATTTCTTTAATTATCAATGAATATAAATTATAAAAAGTTAATATTTAAAAACTATAAATTGTGAAAATTTCATTATGTACCCACATGGCCACATTACTATATTTTATTTTATTATGTATAAAACACTTATATTGGTAAAAGTGAATTACGTAAATAGTGTAGAAAAGTTAACATAAGACACTTGAAAAATCTAAGGAAGCATAAAATTATTGTATGATATCTTCTCAAGAAAAAAAAAAGTTATGACCATCTTAGACTTTGAGGCGTGTTGAGAATCTTAAAGATCTTTTAATTTTAGTATGTGTTCACACTTTTAGAACTTTTGAGGTTTGCTTTAGGGCATATTTGACGTTAACTATATTGATCAGTTGTTAACTAGTAGTTGTTTGCATTAGTTGTTTTAACTAACGGATTATAAATAATTGTTTATGTAAAAGCATTTGGTAAATTATTCTTAGTTACGTTATTTTAGAGTATAACCAACAAAAAGGTTAAAGACTTTTTCAAAAAGCTCCTCATATGAGCACTTTGGACTCAAAATGCTCTTTCAAACAACTCTTTACCAAATATCCGAAATAGCTTTATGAAATGTTCATATACAAAAAACTCATAACCAAACACCCCCTTAGTTATAAAGCTTAGTGGTAGAGGATTAAAGGGAGAAGTTGAGATAGATAGTTAAATTTTGTTGTAGTTCTTCGAATGCTTAGAAGTAGCTAGTACGATTAATAACACTTCTCTCATAACTCCAACATTGTGTTTGTACTTTCCCCTTGTGATTGCTCATATCATAACCTAGTCTTTTTTCATGAACATATGTAATAAAAACTCACCATCAATACTCATCTAAAGCACCAAGCTAAGCTTGGTCTAGTGAATAGTAGGTTCAATCCCTACTAAAACACAATTTAGGAGAGGAGATTCCCTTACTTTCCTCCCACTCTTTCAAATTGTTTAGTTCATTAGCTTGATAAGAGTTTTGGCCCGATAGACTCTTTATCTTACCTAACCAAAAAAATAAATTTCCATACAACTTTTTTATTGGGACATAAACTCCCGTAAAACTTTAGTGCTCTAGATAAATGAGACGAATTTTGTTGGACAGAGTGAGTATTAACAAACACAACTCACATTAATTTTTGAAAAATGCAAATTTGGGTAACAATAATTGGGTTTAGTTCAGTTTTGGAGAGGATGATGATTCGATTAGAGTATGATCCAAAGAGTCTAATAAAAGAAGTGAAGCAGTCCGGCCCGTGCCAATATGGCCCGTGTTCTTAGCAACAACTTCGGTCCATACCTTTACAAGGTTACACTCTTGAGCTCCATATTCTCCATAAAGCACTTGCAAAGGTTTTTTTTTTTTTTTTTTTTTTTTTTTTTTTTTATGAAAATAACTACAGAGTATCAAATTACTTTATAATATAATCCATGAAGCAAATTTATAAATTCAATTCCTTTACACCCTCATTACTAACTAAGTTGGTCCATTTGACTTAGAATTAAAAAAATTTACAATATCAAGTGTTAGTTTTTTTATACCAAACACCAAAATATTCATTTAAGTCAATTTGGCAAAACTGCTTAAAAAAAAAAACTTGCTTGAATTGGTACCTCTTATAAATCAAACTAGATAATAACCGAGCCATGCTCGGTTTTTAATGATGGTAATAGAAATTAAATATAGAAGTCTCATAAAAATGTGATCTAATAGTCCATCATAATAATAAATAATTAAATTATAAATTTATAGATACATTAATAATTCTGCAAAAATCTAAACGAAAAAAATAGAGTTTAGGATGGAAAATTCCCTCCAAAAAACTCTAATATAGTTTAGGTATGTAGATAGATGGACTTAACATTTGAGCGGGAAATTTTTTTATGAGGTAGCACCACGTGTACAGCTTTGGGAAAAGATAACATTAGCGATTGCTACTTTAATATTAGTTATAAATGCACTCTAGCTTTGCTGGCAGGTTTATTAGAAGTGAAAGTAGGAAAAGATAAGAAAATCCCCATTCTCTAAAGAGCCCTTAGTGGGATTTGATCTCACGACTTAGGCCAACCCTTGCTAAGTTATTTGCCTCTTTTGATAATTGATAAAATAGCTCATTGAGTTTCATACTGTACCTGTCTAGATGTTGCAATTATTACCTCCAATACGTTTGTCATTATTAATATCATTTTATTGTAGGTTACAAATGATTGTATTACTCTTGGTTGATCACCTAATAAAAATTCGACCCCAATAATTTTTCGGGGTTAAAATCGAAACAGATGTAATAATGTACAAGTGATGATCTGATCGTAGTATATCACCGGTATGAATTAAGATGTAGTTTATAGGTTCTCCCCCCAAAAGGAAAATACAAAATGGTTTACTTCTGAATCACCTTATTGATCCAGTTGATCTGTATTTGTACTTACATGCCCAAAAGAGGTAGTTTAAGAAGTTTAAGGCACCTAAAACACATAACAACCAGTAAAACCTCTCAAGGTGGTAACGATTCAAATTGCTCCCAGCTAACCAAGCATTGTGCTCATCATGCCCTCTTCTAGTAGCCGCGTTAATAATGGAAACAATAACCGAGCTAAGGTAGTAACCAATGGCCAATGACGCCCAAGAGAGCGAGGTTGCAAGAGACCTCATGCTTGATGGAGCTTCAGTAAAAAAGAACTCTAGCATCCCGGCT